CAAGGCTGATTGTGCTCCGGAAAAAATCCGGATTTCCGGATTTTTCGTTAACAGTGATCCGGAAGTTTCCGGAGATCGAAGGTCCAGACGTTTCGAAAAATCATTGATCACAGAAGTTTCCGGAAATCAAATTTTCAAAGGTGAAACTTAAAAACACAGTTTATTTTATTTGTTTGTAAGGGTGAGCCAGAGAGATACTTTATAAGCTTATATTCATGATTAATATTAATTTTTTATCAGTAAATAGTTGTTAAACTCAAGAAAGAAAGACATATTTGTAAATTTTAATTACTTCTCCAGGTATAGGTATGTGTATATGGTATAGGTATATGTAAAATTTTAAATATATTTTAAGTAAACTAAGAAATATCGTGAAAAAGGAAAGAAAAAACTTGTTTAAATTTTTTTCTAATTTTTCAAGTTAATCTGTTTTCTTTGTTTGTTTTTTTAACTCAAGAAATTTTCCGGAATTTTGACTTGGGTTCACAATCACCCCTGTGTAACTGACCAGTAGCAAAATTTCCTAATTTTGCCCTATAGTCAGTAGTATATATATGTAGTATATATAGCTAATGGTGCCCTATAATATATACTAATAGTGTATATAGAAATTATCAATCGTGTTAAAACCTTTTAAAAGTTAGTTTTCAGAAATTAGAATTTTTTTCTGTTAAAAAATTTTAGTGTCTTTTATCAGCCTGAAACAAATAACCATTTTTTCCTATGTTATTCAAAGAAAATTCTTGATCAAAGTCATAATGTTTGGAGAGTTAATAAATAGCATATTTTCTCGTTAATATTATATGATTATAAGTGATCACTATTTCAATGTCCTTAATTTAGATTTTGCTGACTTCTATAGAGGCCTGCCAACTACTACGCATTTTTTTAAAAAATATTTAACTTTTTTTTAAAAACATTCAGAATTAATGGTAATTTTGACAACATTTTAAAAGCTTCACCACAAGAGAGTTGGAGAAAAGTGGCATTTCATATAAACTTTTAAATCATTCATATGTAGTGGTGTGGAAAATAAGTTTAAATGAGTAAAAAATAATACATTAAATCATAAACTTAAATGCCACTAGAGTGAACTTTTACAAAAAGCGTAGAATATTGGCAGCCCTGTTTATAGAAAAGGTATGTTACCTCACTATTACAAACTTTAAAATTTGTGACAACGTCATCATCATATTTGGCACACCAGTCAAAGGTGGGCCTTTCATTAAAGATACCACCATGACAACTTATTCTTTGATCTGGACTGTTTAGTCTTTTATCCCAATCACTCTGAAGTCCCTCAGAATTAATCCACCGTTGCTCTTTATTGATTAGTGAAGGCTTTTAGCTCAATTACTTTTTCTACTGGATTTTTTTATATCCGTTCTTGCGATATGAACAGTGAAGTTCATTCTTTAAATTTTTATACTTTTCATGATGTCAGGCTCTTTAATTTGTAACAACAAATATTTGTAACATTTTTATTTTAGTCTTAAGTACTAAATACAAGGACTATTTAAAAATAATGTTGTTTTTATAGAATAGGAAAACAATACATCAGATTTATATTACTTAATAGTGAATGATTTTCTTTTATTTTTAATATATATACGTTAATCTAGCATTCTGACATGCAATTCAAAAAACAATGAAAGTGCTTCATGATTGATTCCAAGAAAAGTGGCTTGACAACTATTTTCTTCTACTGCTAATGGTATGAACGCTAAAATAGAATTTCGAAATACTGATTAAATAAAAGTTATTTTTGAAATTTTTTTATTACAATATATAGCTTACCATACAAAGATGCTAAATATATAAAAATTTTGATTTTGAATTTTTTGTTGTCTAAGTTGATTTTTAAATTGCTTGGCAGTATTGTTTCTGCTTTTTTTTAATGAATTATTTTTGTTTTGAATTTGATATTTTATTTTACTTGGTTTTATAACCATCGTTGAACAGCCGACTGAATTTAGGTTTTTGTGACTACCAATGTTTAACGCCTTGTAATTTTGAATGCAATACAGAAGACAAGGGAACTCTTGGATAAAGTATTGGGAGAAATTTGCCTTGGTGGAGGACTGGAACTAACCTGCATTTGCGTTGCCTGGAGAGGAAGACCACAAGAACCTCCGACGATTAGGCTGGCGGCAAGGGGTCTCCAACCCATGATCTATCTACCACTGAGGATATTTCGCGTCAGCACTGTGATCGGTGCAAGTCGGATGCGGAATTCGTATCGACCAGCCATTGCTGGGATTCTAACCCTGTTCGCCTAATTGGAAGGCGAACGCTCTATCCCTTGAGCCATCGTGGCTTTGAATTTGATATTTTAATGTTTCATGTTTTATTCCATAATTTCAGCAGTAGGGGCCCTACTAAATTGCATTCATATCTTGCATAATTGCATCCAATGAAACGCCATTTAAATAGCATCCTTGTAAAAGAAATTCTTTTATAAGATAATTTTATTAGAACTGAATGTAAAAACCTTTAAAGTCTTCAAATAAAAAAAAATTTTTGACTAAAATTTGAGAAAAAAAAAAAGGTTTAACTTTATAGTTTGAATAGGTCCTTTTATATCATTATCAAAATGCCTGATAATGCATATTTTTTTGGGGATGCCAGGACATTATTGTGTGATATAATTTAGTTTTGTAAAGTTTAATTTTGCATCCTAATATAAATGTATAGATACATGTGTGTTATTTATAAATGGATTGATTAAAAAAAATTCTATGGTAGAATCTAGAGATGCATAGTTTCTTTGTTAATGTATTTTTTAATGTCAGTTTGTCGAATGGATATATCCTATCTTTAAAGATATTAAAACTTTTTTTATTTTCTTATTTGCAGGCTGCTATGTGGCTGAAAAAAATAGATTTACCAACTAAACCTCGGTTCAAGAGTTTAGATAGGAACTACTTGGAGAGAGCAAAAAAATGCCTGCAAACATTTCTTTCGGTAAATAAACATTTCTTTATTTTCTGTTAATTAATGATTATGGGAGCAGAATTTACATAATCATTCTGCAGCATATCTTTATAAATTCAAATCTGTCTGCAATCCATCCTAATACAGTCAGACACAGAATTTACTTAACATGTATACAATAAACAGGGTACCCAGAGAAAACCTGGAATTTTATATTGACTCTAGAAATCAGGGAAAGTTGCAATTTTTTATAAAAATTCTGGAAAATTCCTTCATCATACCTGGAAAATAACTAGCCTTCGAATTCTCAGTAACAGTTATTGATATTCGAGTTAAATAATTCTGACATCTATTACAATTATGTGTTGTAAAAATTTTACATTTTGGTCAAACTTGCGTGTTTTCATGCTCATTCAATGATAGCGTTTTGCTCACAAAATCTAATATTTGACACTACGAATAAAAAAAAATTATTTCTGATGAAAAATTGCATAGTATAGATAAAAAATAGTCTGGATTTTCACTGAAATTTTCTTGATATACCTGGAAAAGCGAGGGATTTATTTTCTGAAATTGTGCGGGAGCCCTGAATAAAAGGAACAAATATCAGGTTGATGAAAATTATACACTGAAAATGTTCTTAAAAATGTATTTTAATTCAAATTTTTATTAACTTTTAAATTAAAGGAATATTAATTAATTAGTATGAGTTAATCAATATTAATTAATTCATATTACTTAATTAGTATTAATTAATTGAAATTAAAAAAGTGGAACAAGTCTATATAAAGTCTATAAATAAACATTTAGAGTTGTCAGAAATTTGGAATTAATTTTTTAAATTATTCTTGTCTTTTAAATTCTTTATTTTTCAAAATTCCAGTTAATTAAAGAAAAATAACACTATTTGGTATTTTTGAAAGAAAATCATCATTTTTTTTTAACTTTTATATCTGCAGATTGGCAAGCAAATTTTTTTAAGAACTTGACACAAGTAAGTGATTGAGTAGGTTTAGGAATAAAAATTAGTTTTTAGTTTCTACTCTCAGTAATATTTTAGGTTAATTTTTATAAATGTAAGATGAAAAATAATCTCCTGATTTTGTGATAATTTTTTTTATCTGGGTTTAAGATAATAATTAGTTATAAAGACTTATAAAAGCCTTTAATAATTCACATTTATTTATAATGAAATATTTGAGACAAAAACTTTCTGAGCTTTTAAAAAATTTATCATTATGTAAAATTAATATAAAATGAAAAACTTATAAATAACGTAATATAAAATTATAAGTTTTATTGTTTATAAGTGATAATATAAAATTAAAAACTCGTATGAAATAACTAGTTTGCTTTACAGGTAATTTAAATTGAAGAAGGTGTACTTGAAACCACCGCATGGTGTTCACTAGTTTTAATTAAATTATTTGTAATGTTTAGACATTGTTATTTTATTGTAAATAGCTGTACAGCTGTTTTAATTTTCTTTCTAAGAAATTCCAATTATTATCAATTTAATAATTTTATATATAAACCAACTATATAAATAAAAATTTATCATGTTCTGAAAAAAAAGAGTATTTTCTTGAAGAAAAGAAAGTATTTTCTTGAAACTACTGTAGTCACTACATCTTTTCATAGTTTGTTTTGCAGTGTGCTACTTGTTTTAATGAAATTAGTGTTGTGAGCAGTGTGATGCAAAAACCAATAGTTTGTGTAGCAATTCCTGGCTACTACTTTTAGCGTGTAGTAAGAAACAAAGTTCATACACAGCAAATTTTTTCAATCAGTTTGGTACCAATCTTTGCTGGTCTGCTTTTGAACGCAATGTGACTGAGCTTTAATAAGAATTATGTATTTAAAATTGTGCATTGCTAATATTTAAAATAGTTATTAAAAATAATATCTAATTTATTATCTTGACCACACTATTTTTTTGTGGAAATAAAAGAGCATTAAGCTGAAAATATTTCATAATTTCTTAGCATTTCTGAAATTAAACATTTACTGTCAAGAAAAGCATAAAAGATTAAAAGAACTGCCTCGTAAGAAATGGTTTAACAAACTGGCTCATGTAAACATGAATTGAATGTTTTTTTTTCTTCATGTTTAAATAAGCCAATTTTTTTCCAAACCATTTTGAGCAAGGGTGTAATAATTAAAAAAGTTCTCCAACAAAATTTGTCTTCAAAAAATAGTGAAGCAGTGACTACATCTCGAAAGAAGTTGTAGTTAACTACATTTGTAATATAATAATTGTAGTTAACTACAAGAATAATGTAGTTTTTCTGACCACTGAACTAAAGTGTCATTTGATTGAGGATTCTACTAAACATGAATTGTTTTTATATTTCTTAAAAAATTTATAAGCATTTACAGCTATGTTTATATTGTTGCTCATTTTTCATGTATGTTTCTTTTGGGCTTTTTTAGGCAGTGACAAAAGATGATGGTCTAAATAAAAGTGAGGCCCTGTATGATTTTTTAAGTCCCAGTCCAGAGTATATGAAGCACCCACCCGTTCCTCCAAAGAGACCATTCAAGCTCAATCTTCTGCAGTTTTTTAAAGGGTTGCTCAATTTATTATTTTTTAAATAAACCTGTTGTCAATAAAATATACAACATAACTTTCTCAAAGTCAAAAAAAGTTTTGTGCGATAGAATTTGAAGTGAACGGTTTTTATTTCCACAACTTAAAAATTGAGGGATCAAAGACTATAATTTCTTCGAGTTAATTTTTTTTTTGTATGAATATTTATTGTGATTTGAATTCAATTCTGTTTATAAGAAAAATTTTAAATTATAATAAAATGAGAGAATCGTAAATAAAAAAAAGGAGGGAAAAACTGTGTGAAAGAATTATAAAGCGAGATATTTATTATCATTATCCTCATAATATTTATTTTGCAATGCATACTCAAACAGTTAAAGTTAACTTGCAGTTCCCTCTTTATATTATTAATCATAAAGATAACAGATTTATCTAAGAAAGGTGTGGAAAACACTGGAAGAATAATACCTTTACAGTAATTTTATTCTCCCTAGCAAGTATCCATCCAAATGTTGGTATCAAGGATATAACAAAATCATATTTTGTTAGAATAGAAGAAAAACTGATTTATTTCTGTCAAAAAAACTTCCAACAAAAATTTTAAAATCATTGTTTTTGCCAGTTTTGTAGATTTTTCTAGAACATTGTTCTTTATTTTTTTGGGTCAATATTTACAAAATAAGTAAATAATAATAATAAATCAGTAATAATAAATAAATAAATCATAATAATAAATAAATAATAATAATAAATAAATAATAATAAAAAATAAATAAATGATATAGTTACTTTAGTATTGTTTTAATTATTTTTGCAGAAACTTCCAATCTCTCCTTTATACACATAATATTTTATATACATAATATTATACATAACATTCCCCCCCCCTTTAAATGAAGACCGTTTTTTTTATGCCTCTCAAAGAAATCTTGTGACCAAGATTGTTGTATAAAACTGACTTATTATTTTTATATATTATGAAATTTTATCATTACTGTGAAATGTATAAAACCTTTTTTTTTCCTACCTATTTTGAAATTAAGTTGTTAACATCTGTGTAAAAGATATATTTTAAAAAATGAAAACTTTTTTTTCTGCAAATTGTAATTTATTATTTTATGAACAAAAATTATTATCTATCAAAACTATTTTATCATTGTGGTTGTTCTGATTAAATGCCCACTTTGTTTTGCAGCATTCCCCAGACTGTTGTTGGGTAAGACTCTTTTCTTAATGTGAAATAAGAATTTTGTTCCATCTTTTTTTCTGTAACCATTTAATGGATTTTTCCTTCCTTTGATCTTTGTTTTATAGTTTTTATTTCTCCTGATCTTAGTTGTGGGTTTTTCCTTCTCCTGATAGTGCGTTTTTCTTTTACCTGATCCTATGTGTGGATTTTTATTTTTCTAGATTCTAGTTGTGGTTTTTTCCATTCTCTGATCCTACTTGTGGAATTTTAATTTTTACAGATCCTAGTTGTGGATTTTTATTTTCCCTGATCCTAATTTTGGGTTTTCTTCCTTATGGTTGTTATTCCTCCCCCCTCCCGTTGTTTTTCGTTCATGGTGTTTCTTTTCCTGTTTCTAGTTGCATGTTTTTTGCTTCAAACAGATTTAGTTATGGGATTTTTTTTATTCTAATTCCACTTGTTTTCTCCTTTTGGGTTTTTCCCTTCTCTGATCCTAGTTGTAGATTTTTATTTTTCCTGATCCTAGTTGCAAGTGTTTTTATCCCCATGATCTTGGTTGTGTGTTTTTCTTTTCTTGGATGCAGGTTTTTTCTATTTTCTATTTTTAGTTCGAATTAGTTCTTTTTTTGGGATTTTCCGACCTCCGATCATAGATGATTTTTCCTACCTTTCATTCTAGTTGTGACACAGTGGATTTTTCTTTCCCCAGACCTTAATTGACTTTTTTTTCTTTCCCTTGATCTTAGTTGTGAGTTTTGATTACCATTGACCCTAATTGTTTTTTTCTTCTTTCCCTTGATTGTAATTGTTGGTTTTTCTTTTTTTCTTTCCCCTAATTCTAGTTGCTGGTCTTTTGTATTCATTACTGTTTCTTTTTAAATTACTCATAGATTAAAAATGTAAAACATATAGTACTCATTTTCAACTAAGAGTGCACAAATATATGATAATGAGTATAAGAAGAAGTAGCTTAACATTAATCTCTCCTTGTTTGCATTGTGTCTATTCATTTTTAGTTAAATATTTCCAAAATATTATTAATTTTCTAAGTATCTCTAAAACTAAATAAATAATTTAATAGGCTTATCTTATACTATGTAATAAAAGTTCACTAAGTGTTAGAGAGACAGGGGTACCGGCTCAGTTGTTGTCCATGATATCATCTCACTCGGGGTCAGAATCATTCCTACTGTTAAAAGAAAGAGCATGAAAAACGGGGCTTGGCCATGGTTGAAGTGTAATAGGGAAAAAACCTTTATAAGATTTAGGTTATTCTTTCAATAATAAAATTACTTTTTCAGCTTTATAGTAATGACATGATTTATTTAAAATGAGAAACTTCTTTTCACATATTTTATAATGCCTTTGAAAATTTAAAAAAATCATGTTAATACATAATTGAAATTTTAGGGTCTTTTGGAATGTATCTTGAGCAATATTTCTAAAATTATTTAATAATACAGTCGAACTCGTTTATAACGAGCACAAAGGGACCGTAACATGTACTCGTTAAATCCGAGTGCTCGTAATAAACGGGTCCTTGAGGCAGGGGTGCAACCAGAAGAGGGAGGGGGAACTTGGGAGGTCAAATGATCAAGTTTGCTTAAAATTTAATAAATACTTACTTACATTAATTAAATACTTTTCTTAATTTAATGACAACTAACCCCTCCCCTCAACCCCCCAACGAACTCAGAATATCCAAATTGTTCAGAAAATTTTTCTGCTTGCACTTTTAGAATAGGTCCACTCACAGGTAAATCAGCACTACATTGCACCTTCATCCATTTCAATAACGCTTCGTCTAAATCCTCTTTCGAACACTTCTTCAGTCGTTTACAGTCTGTTTTATTTTGGTCGTATGCATCCATTAACTTGCCTTTGTTTTTTAGCAGTGTGGAAACAGTAGATGAAGACAATCCATACCTTTTGCAGATTTCGACATTTTTAACACCGTCATCCAACTCCCGTAAATTTTTTACTTTTTCGTCAACCGATAAAGCTTTAGATTAGAGCAATAAGGGCAATTAAGTTTCAGTTCGCGGTTTTTTTTTATTTCTCGCTCATTTCTTATCATTTTGAAAAAAAGATGAGACAGAAAGACCAGAAAGATGAGAAAAAAGACTGCAAGACAGAAAAATATTGCTCTCTAAAACCGGGTCTTGCTCGTTAAAAGCTACTTCTGTTCCATAGACTCAACATTGATCCAACCAAATATTCTCGTTTCCCTCGGTAAATCCGAGTTCTCGTTAAATCCGAGCTCGTTATAAACGAGTTCGACTGTATGAATTTACGAATAAAAATTATTGAGCTATGCATTTGAGTTCCCGAAATAATTTTATTTTGAAACCTATATATGTTTTTCAGGACTCTTCAAAACACTCTGAACCAGTTTGATGATCCAGTTGATGAAGAGTTACTATTTCTGGATGATTCTGATAGGTAATTTCTTTATGTTTGTGATTATGTGAACATTATATGAATGTTATGCGATTTCATGTTTTAAAATTTTTCTATATCTCTTTTGCTTATTCTGCAATATTTAATTAGATATTTTTGTTACCATCAATTCCTTTCATTTTAGGAATTAACTATTTATAAACTTCATAATTCATTATAATTAGCCTTTTACACTGAATTATCAATTATCTCTGGATTGATTACCAACAGCTTGGCTCTTCTATAAAACTGGTACCATAAATACAATTTTAAATGCTAGTTTTATTCTGTCTGTTTCATGGACCATAGATATATGTATGTCAAATATCGGATGAAATTTGGAAAAATTAAAAGCAAGAGGAAAATTTACTTTAAATAAGATAATATGTCGTTAAAAATTTATTACATTCTTGGAATTATTTAGATGACCAGCTTGTTTGCCCTAATAAAATCACCACACTGCAGCTCCTCACAATATGATATGGCATTTTGGTAATGTGTCATTTTAATAATAAGTAATCAGGTGCAACTATTTCTTAACTTAAAACAGTTATATTAAGGAAACCAGCAAGAATTGTAAAATAAATGTTTGAACTCTAGAAATTACCTGAGAGTTAACATCCCTTACGAATCGTTGAGTTTAGATATATCCAATGATGCCAAATAAAAATACAGGGAAAAAGTTATTTTGTTATATAAAGTTTAATTTTGAATTAGATAAAATAAATTATAAAAGAACATAATCTCTGTGATGCTTGGCAACGGAAATTTATTTAATTCTTTGGAAGGGTAATCTATTTAATATGCCATAAATCATTTTAAGTAAATCTTCGCAAACTTTTGATTTTAAAATCTAAAGAGTTTGGTGCTGTGTAAGATTTCTATCTATCTATCTTTTTTATCTAACAAAACTGTTTTATCTCAATAGCAAATTTATTTTTCTTCATTTAATATCATTTTACTTCAGTATCAATTCAATCGATATCAGCTACCATTAATAATCATTCAGTTGTATCTGTATCAGATTTTCTCAATATTCTTTTCAAAAAACTTTTTTGTACATATTGTAATACACAAATACATAATTGTTTGTTTAAAATAAATTTTGTTCTATTTCTTTTACAGCAAGGATGACAAAAAAGATTCCATTGCAGAACCCCTGTATGTCTTGATTGGTGAAATATTCGAATTGAAAGGAGTTTTTAATTGGTTGAGAAAATCATTAATTACATTTGTGCAAATTACATATGGTTCAACAATAAATAGGTGAATAAACTTTTTTTTTCTTAGTTAATTAAATTCTGTTACACATTTAACAATTGTTTAATCATAAAATTGTATCTTAAAATATGTATCCATTTGTGTAATTTTTTTTTGTTGATACATTTAGTTTTATTACAAATAAATAGGTATCCTATCTAATGAATCTTTTTATTTTATTTACATAATAAATAAAGAAAGAAATTTCTCTTCACAATAAAATATTTTACAATAAAAGATCCAGTGATACCTTATTTATGGAAAAATAAATTGAAAGCTATGTTTAATTTTAACTACTCATTAATTTCTTAAATAAAATATTTTTTTACGTTTATTATTTGAATAGTTGAAATACAGGGTTGCCAATGGTGGAAAAAATTTAAAAGTCGTGGCAACTGTTTTATGAGGTAATCGTAAATTTTATAGGCTTTAATTTCATGTCAAATTTATGAATTCAGTTGATCAGTTTGTACCACATATACTTCATTTACAAATTTGTTTGGCTACCAGTTTTTTTAATTTTTCTTTAGCCACTTCTCCTAAATAACATGATAGGATAATTTGTATATTTCTGAAATAAAAATTATTTTATAAACATGTTCATGAAAAATGTTGCTATTATCAGTAATAAATTTGTCAAAATAGACAGAAAAATAAAACATAATTCAAATGGAAAAGTTTGAAAATTATTTGAAAAAACGAGTTTTTAGTCCAAAAAATATTATACTACATACTTTCACTTTTGAAGGTAAATTGGTATTACACTAAGAAATTAAGTACCTAATGATTAATTGATGTAAAAATCAAATAAAAAGAGAAAAAAAAAGAGTCCAAACAAGAGATTCCTGTTTAAGTTCAGATATAGAATTGAAATTTTTGTTTTTACTTCTCCAGGTATTTTAACAAGATTTGATCATAATTTATTCCAGACCATTCTTTATCTATATATAATGCAATTTTCCACGAAACAAATTTGAAATTATATAAAATCTTTAAAGAGCCTGATGTTGTGAAACACTCAAAAATCCAAAGGATAAAATGGACTGGTTAGAATGCCTGGAAGATCAAAACTGCTAAAAACTATTTCTAATCAAGTCTATAGGAACTAAACAAAGAGGTAAACCTCACTTCAGCTTGATCGATTACATTGATAAAGACACGGATATTCTGAAACCAAAATATTTGAGCTCAATCACTAAATAGAGAGAACATTGGTAAAGACTTCTAGAGATGGCCTGGGCCCACCCAGGACTGTCTTGGTACTGAAGAAAAATGCAATTTATCATTAAAAAAATCTTTTTAAATTTTTTTTTTAAAAGTTGAAACTAGATTTTGGAGACTAAATGGGGATATCATGATATTCTTTTAGTAATATGTAAATTGTTTAAAAAAATAATCTAACTAGATGTTAGAATCATTTAACTAAAGTCTCAATAATTGATTACTGTATCTGACAATTCTAAGATTGTTTTTTTTCTAAGCATATTGCAAGAATTTTTATAATAGAAAAATATTTTTTTTTAAACTATACATTGATTTTTTGAGCCAAAATCAAATTTCCTGACAATTTCAGGATTTTCCTCTCTTACCTGACCCATGGGTACCCTGAAAAATGTTTGTGCATAGTAAGTTTTAGAACGGAGATATGCAAAGTTTTACAGAGAAAAAAAGACCTAAAAAGATGTATATAGAAATGAACTCTTTTTCTCTTGCAGGCAACTACGCGAGACTGTATCCTATATACTGTCAGAGCCGATGCTTCTCTTCTATCTCCAGTTGTTTCGTGATACAATGTGGCCTCCTGATAAGCAGGTATTGAATGTTGAAGAGAGGAGCGTAGAAAAGAAATTGGAAACAAAACACATGGCCAAAGAAATGTTTCTCAATAATCCACCAGGTAAGCAATACAGAATTGTTGATTGGAAAATTTTAATGATTTGGGAAATATAAATTGAGAAATTTTGTAACCAGCCAGGCCCAGTAATTTGCCCCTTTTTTTTAAAAAAAGAAATTCTTAAGCAATTAAAAAAAAATTTTGATATTTTTTAAGTAAAACATTTCTTCAGAAGCATTTCTCGAAATTTGGTTAACAATTTCTAAAAAAATCTATTCTTTTCTCTTTAAGTAAATTTAATTTAAGTATTGTATGTAACGTTTTCAATTAATAAAATTTATGATTTGAGTTTTTAAACTAATAATGCAATAAAAATGTATGTATATTAACACACTTAAAATTTATTTATTTCAAAACAAATCTGGTATAGTTGTGAAATTATATTAATTAGATTGTATTTAAAAATTATAGATACATACATTTAAAAGAAAGTAATAAATTCATTTGAATGAAACCTTTGACAATCAAATTCAGTCCTTCTGAAATTTTGAACTAGGTTAAAATAAAGTGATTTACAACTGTATCATTTAAAAAAAAATAATTTCTTAAAGTTAGTTGAGCACAATAAAATAAATTGAACACAAGTTGACATGAAATAAAAAATATTCAAATAAATTGCAGAAAATAATATGTTCAAAAGTTTCAAGAGAAAAAAAAAAAAGGAATGTAGTCAGAAAAGCATATCATATTTATTTTCAAAAAATCTATTTTCAATTCGGAATGAAAACACTTCAAAATACTTAAATGACTGTATCCGTCTGCTGTTTATGTCCAAGAAAATCGCAGCAAGCGTCTGTAATAAAGTAATTTTTCTGATTTAGATGAAAAAAAGTTGTGGTTGAAAATGCCCACTTTTTATATTTAGTTGCCCTCTGACAACCGTAGTTAATTTCGCCTTATAAACTATAAGTAACTATATTTTTTATTACTACAATATCTGCCTCCATCAACCAATGTCGTGAATATACATTTTCAGCATTAGTTGGCTGTTAGCATTAACTTTCTTCCAATTCAGAAAACAAGGTAACTGTCATGCTGAAATATATAAGCTTAACCCCGTCAGGGGGCATCTGGGGAAGTCATGCTGAAATATGCATAACATATTTCCTAACATTTAAAAAAAATAATTATTATCTTATTTCATCCTTTTTCAATTAATATAATCTGTAACCAATTTGTACTACAACCTTGGATTGAGTGCTAAATAAGATTTATTTTTAGATATTCCCTCTTATATCTGCCTAACACATTAGCAAAGAATTCGAAAAACGTTATAGGGTTGCTAACGTTTTGGATTCATTGAAATTCTTTATTATTTCTTACACTTTTTTTTTGCCTACTCATTTGAATGCGTATGGCTAAGAAAAAGATTCTTGGCATTAAATTTAATCAATTAATAGCTAATACATGGATTCCTTAACTTTCCTTGGCCAAAACTATGCTAATGTATATATGACACTAGCATTTTAGAGAAATAAAAAATCATCACAGTATAATTTATTTATATATTTCCATTTGATTTTTATGATAGAAAGAATAAGTTTCTCGCAATGTTATGTAAAAAATCTCACTTAATTTCTAACATATTCATTTAATGCATGAGTATTTCCAAGAAATCTTTCAGAAAATAAAATCCCATTATTCTAACATAAAAAACTAATAAGTTTATCTTTTGGATTACCCATTTAATTTACCTGAAAATACGGATGTTTTATAGTAACTCTACCTATTCAATTTATCTGAATATATATATATATAATAGTAACTCAATTTTTACTTGTTTTTTAGTGATCTTGAACAAATTAATTGGTGAGCAAAATACTAGGAAAGGTTTATCTAAAGTTTTTGATGCACTCCAAAACCAATACTTCAACAAACAACTGTTTTATGTATGTATGATTTTCTTTTAAATTGTCTCCCTAAAATGTACTGTTTGCTATGCTTTGCTTAGAAAACCACAGAGTCCAATTCAACTATCTCACAAATTTTTAAAGTTAGTTACAAAGTTCATTAACAGATGGCAGTGTTTTCTGAGAAAACCATTTGACACTATTTTTAAAATAACCACCCCTTACAGCAACAACATGATGCTCTTGCAATTATATTAGCAGCAGAAAATAAGAATGTTTCTTGTTAAGAGTGCCCATTTGTTTATAAACTTTGAACGAATTTTGAAATTTGATAATAAATTATTGGTTTCTTGCGCAGAAAACAGCAAAATTGTACATTTATCATCAATTTTGTTCAAATCATTGGTCATATTTGGAATAGTAACAAAATAAATATTTTTCCATCTAGAAAATCTTGGAAGCTTTTATCTATGCATATGCTCCTGAATTAAAGCAGATATCTTCATTATATAGCATTGACAAAGCTGAAAGTTGTTCAGAATAATTGTAAGTATAATTTTTTTTTCGTACAATAGCTATTGCACATGTAGTGTGGCAACAACAACATTATATGACAAATTTTATAAGTTCATTGATGTTATAAAAATTAAACAGAATGAAATTTTAGTAGAATTTGATTATTACGCGTTGATGAGGATATTGATGAAATGATACTGATTACAGTTATTTAAATGGCATGGATTTCATAGACATGTTTTACTTAATCTTATAGCGTAATGTCAATAGGAAGGGCAACAAATAATAAAAGTTAAAAAAGGGAATTATTTAAGCTTTATTATTAATTCCTCTCAGTTTTGCTCATTTTGAATAATACTGGTTTAATGATTATTGACTATTTTTTTATATAGTACAAAGAACGAGTGTTCAGATTGTAAATCCATAGCCTTGTAATTTTGAACTCCTCGATCAAGCATTGGGAGAAATTTGCCTTACTTTAATAATAAAGAAAAACTTGATCTTTATGAGTGTATGTTAATAATAAAAACTTGTTCTATCTAGAGTAATAAGAATTTTTTTCCCCCAGTTATGTTTTCTGGTCTAAACTAATCTTCAGTTTATATCTAACAGACAAATTGCCTAACTTTCTTTAAAATTTGGTCGTAGAATGTCAAGCTTGAACCAAAATAATGATTTTAATAATTTTAACCTTTTAATGAGAAATATTAAGTATTTTAGCTATAATATTTTTAAATGATATTAAGCATTATCCAGTTTTATCAGATGCTTAAGTTGATAAATATAAAAAAATCTGATTTGAAATCAAATAATTAAAAAAAATTATTTTTTAGCCATGTCCTAGTTAGTTATCGGGTTAAAATAAGTAAAAAAATTGTAAACAGTATTCTCAGAATTAAAAAAGGTTCCATTAGGGAGAATACTGTTAAGACATCTTGTAGATATTTTGCTGAAAATAAAAACTAATGTGTTTTCTGCATCTTTGTATTATCCAAAGAGCTTTAGTCATTTAAAATTAAAAAACAATAGAAGTAGTAATGGATACAACCTTTCACCCGCACTATACATACATCCTTTGATGCTGGTTCACACTCCCATGCCACAGGTTCTATCCTTGAACCAGGCAAGGTTGACTCAGCCTTTCATCCCTTCAGTGGGTCGATAAAATGAATACCAAGTATGCTTGAGATCTAAACTTTGGAGGTTCCGTGCTCGGTTGACCATCTAACCGGAATATCTACTCCTGCATCCCAGAAATATTAGGCCTTGGCCTTCTTTGTGCCACTGAGTTAAGTTTTTATACATTCTTTCCCAAACTTAAGCATTTGTAAACAACTTATTTTTCATTTTATCTTTCAATATTTCTGATATAGGTTTTCTGAAACAAAAAATAATTACCAAATATTTTTTTCATGCGACTTGATTGTTTAAATGCATTGCTCTCAATTTAAAACTACTTGTATCTTAGATAAAAAAAAGCTTCAGTTTACAAAAATTGCAATTGAATTTGTATTCTAAAAATACCCTTTCTCGTAATTCTCCTACTTAAAATTTCTGAAATTCATATTGATGCAGTATGAACTTACCTACGCTACTCTTTGTTTGCATTGTTTCCTTCTTGCATCTGTTGGAGGGTTTATTTATTTCAATGCTAGGAAAAAGGGCCAGAAAATTATCAGATAAGCTGTTTTTGGTTGTTTGTTGACAGTTCTGGTAAGAGAATTTTTTAAAATTAATTTGACAGGGTAAAAAGTAAACTGTTGGACTGGCTAACTGCCTTTTTTTATGAAGTTGGTTTTTCATATAAGTTTCACAATATTAGTATTTACAAAAAAAAAAAAAACTTTTTTTACTATTTATTATAAAATTTAATTTAGTTTGTATGACCTATGTTTTTATTAATTAATATGTTGGATTTATATCTATTATTCAAAGCTGCTTTGCATAGATCATATACATATATATACTGTAAAACCTCCTTTTAGGGACACTCCTGCAAAGCGGATGCCGTTAAATGTTCGTTTCGCTGTATATATAAAATTTTATAAGAGACACTGTTATCTTTATTTTTGCTGATTTTTTTAAGATGGAATGATTTAATTTTATTTTTTCAGGTTTTGAAATGTTAGAAGATTTTATTAGCTTCCAAGGCAGTGAAAATAATTGTATAAATAATGAGCATGTCTTATATTTATTAAAAATTGTGTACATAAGTTTCCGAAATATTTATTGTTAAGCATTGAAGTTGTAAATATGTTATTTTTTTGAACAGTTTATTTGTTAATTAAATAAATTTTAATTAATCATTTTGGATTTGTATCTACTTTTTTTTAAAGTTTAACTATCACATTTAAAGCTTGGTTTAAGGATTCTAAATTAAAAAATAAATCTATGTTTAGTTGCAACTTTAAAAAAATAACCATTATTCCAAAGGAAGGTGTAAATTATGCGAAATCAGTCTATGTAATATATATTTTTATTGTATTCCTATTGGCAATTTTGGCAGAATAATTTGTACTTTAAAATTATTGAAATATTTTGAAAGACTATAATTGAAGTTTTTAGAAATTTTATTACAGTTTGCTCTCTGTTTAATGACTTTGTAAGGATCATCCAAATATTGTCCTTAACAGATTTTGTTCGTTAATGAAATTTGTGGAAAAATAATGTTTTTGCAGGTTAAGGACTGTCAATTTATTTCTAACTAAATTGATGTGTTTAAAAATGTTTTTCACACACAGTATTGCAACTAACAATTGAAAAAAAAAATTCTCTGACTGATTTAATTGAATTTTCCTGATTTTTGTAACTGGTGGCATAAATTTTACTATCAATGTAAAAATACATTAATACAATAATTAAAGTAAAAAAATACAAGTACAATGTCAAATATTAGATTTTGTGAGTAAAAACATACAATAAAATGAGAATTGAAAAAAAGAGAAGTTTCACTAAAAAGTGGAATTTTATAAAATAATTGTAATAGATGTTAGAATTATTTAACTCAAATCTCAATAGCTACTGTTACTAACGATTCTAAGAATGGTTATTTTCCAGGTATGATATAGGAATTTTTCCTGTTTTTTAGAGTTAAAATTCCCTGACCCGTGCGAGCCCTGTTAATTTTCATGTTCAAAGCAAATCACACATTCTTATTAGGTACTCAGAAATAAATATTTAAAGTATTTCTGAAATAAACCTGGGGTTTTCATCAAAAACCTCAGATTTTTGATAAAAAAAAACCTAGGTAGGCTGGGATTTTTCACAAAAATCACAGTTTCTTTTCAAATCCTGTTTATTACAGAACTGTTTACTTAGTACAATTGGAAATTTTAAAAAGTGGTACTGCGTTTTATAAGTATACAGTTAATAATTACATATTGAAATATTATACACATTTAATTCTACAAGTTTTTTAGAAATAGTTTCCGTTAAGGACTGTTAAAATTGTTTTCTGTCACTTCTTTTCTTAGGGCTTTACTTTGTTACTATAAGCATGTGCACTACCAGTAGAACTGTAATACCTTAGAGCTACCCTCCCCCCCCTTAAAAAAAACAAAAACAGGATCTCTTCCATGTGCAGTATCCTTTTTGTCCATGCCCTATTCTTTTCTTTTAGAATGATTCTATTTCCTCATAAGGTACATTCAAAGCTAAAGAAAGAATTTATAATAAAAGAACCAATATATTAATGAAAGAACATGATTTCTTCCCCATGCCTTGCACATATCCCTTCTTGTTTCTCTTAAATTTATCTTTGATGTATAGTCTCATTCTAGGCGATAAAAGAGCGACAACAAAAGACAAGTATTTTTGAACAACTTAGACAAGAAAATCAAGCAATAAAACCTGTTGCCAATGTAACCTGTTGCATAAAATTTCGTAAATGTAATTTAATATTTATGCAAATATGAACATTTTTATAAAAAACAATTTTTTTGTCTTATGTTTTTTTGCTAACACTTTAAAAATTTTTAAAATTAAAATTTTTTTGGAGTAAATTAAAATTAAATAAAAAGTTATTGCTTTAAAATTTTTTTTAAAAAAAAAGGCCGAGATATGAGTATTTAAAGTTGTCTTTTGGTATTGCGCATACGCAGAAAAAATCTAAAATTATTTTTTAATAGTTTAGTACTGAATCGCATTTGGCAATTAATGGAACAAAATCTGATATAAATATCTAAACGTAAAAAGTTTCAAGCAATTTTCTAAGTAGTTTTTGTATTTTTTAAAAGAAAGCTCAAAATAATCAGTGGTTTTTCACGAATTTTATTAAGTAAGGTTGCAAATTACACTACCCTATGATGACAAGACAGCAAGAACAAAATTAAATATTTGGAAAACCCCTCATCATTTACACTTTTTTTTAAAAAAGTACAAAAAGCGACTTAGAAAATTGCTTGAAACAAAACATAATTTTAATTTATTTTGTAATATAATTATTTTTTTTATTTTGTTTTAATAATTTTGTAATTTATTTTAAATTGCTCCAAAAGTTTTGTTTAATTTTACTGAATATTTTCAAAATTATAACAAAAAAAAAAAAAAAAAAAAAAAAAAAAAAAAAAAAAAAAAAAAAAAAAAAAAAAAAANAAAAATAAAACAAAAAAAACTTGACACAAAAAAATAAGTTTTTTTTAAAAATTTTTCATATCCCCATAAATATTTGGATACATTTTCAAAATTTTATGCAATATATTTTGCAAAGTATAAAAAATCACATTAATCAAAACACTTCTAAAATTATTAAATAGAAATTAAAAAAAAAAAAAATCAAAAACGGAAGTGTCTTTTCCATTATTGTAAGGTAGTGTGTATAGATATTTTGGTGCAGGTCTTAATTATTTGGTGACTTTTTACTTATGCCCAGTTAATAAAAAAAAATCTTTGGATAGATTCAACACAGAAAAAGTTGGTTTATTTAAATTCTTCTATCAGCATTCAAAGAAACTACAATCACAAGTTTCAATCCACAAATTAAGAGTGCATGCTTTGAACTTAGAATTTTATTTTATTTTGTTTTTTAAGTAAAAAAAAACAACACAACTTTGTTTTGAGTTACATTTTCATACATTATTTAATATTCATATTTGGATATTTAGCAGAAAATTATTTTGCAGCCATTCTAAACAGGCATCACAAATATTCTAATAATGAATTTAAAATTCTCCCAAGTTCTTTTTTGGTGGAGTTAGGTTAAAGAAAAGCACACCGGAATTCAGAACCTGTAAGAAAATAATCATAGCTTAAAAAAATTGAAAAAACATACACATGTGACAGTCCTGGTAGGAAAATTTACAGTTTATCTGTTGCACAAACTATATTAGTTAAAATATGTCAATGACTCAAACATAATCAGATTTTTACATAGAATATTATTGTAAATAAATCCTAGATTTTCTAAACAATTTTATATAGAATATAACTGTAAAAATTAGGCTTAACCCTTAATGGAGGGGTGAGGTAAATTCATGTTTCTGCATTGTGACTTCCTAGGAGAGACCTAGCTTATTTACGCTTGAATTTATAGGACAATGCTTCAAATTTTTTATGTACTTTTTTTTATATCACTAGTTCTAGTACTATCTATCTGTTGATCCTACAACACAGTTTTATCCCTCGGCAGTATTTTTAACAGTAATCTCCTAACTGTAAAAATGGCAAGCACAGAGGAATTTTCGGCAGAAGATGCAGAAATTTATGTTTATAACTTTTCCAATGTAGAGAAGGATAATGAATTACAAAACTATAATTAAGAAAGTGATATTTCTATCAATAAGAGTAAAATTGTTGCTTCCAAAAAATAAAAAGAAATTGTCTGGAAGTTTCTGTTTACAGAGTATTCAGATTTGGATTATTTTTTACTTGTTCAAGTGGACATGACAACATAACCATTCACTAAAACGCAGCATCAGCGGTCAGTCTTTCAGGGAGGGGGCAACTGGGTATTTTATTTACTTTTTAAACAGAATTTTCCCTTGTTCAAGTGGAAGTAACCAAGCCCCCTATTACTTTTCACTAACATTATACTGAAAACCGCCTGAACTTTTTGTTCTAAACAAAGTAATTCTGAGATTAAAAATAGCTTATAGATTAAATTTGTCATGCTGAAGTAAAGTAACTTGGATTTTTTTAAGTTTGCCGTTCATCCTTTCCTAAAGCAGTCTGGCATATGCATGCTTATCTAAATATAATTCCTCGGAAAAACTATTAATTATTTCAAAAGAACTTAATTTCATTACAAAGCCTGTTAATGTTAATTTTGATTTTTGCACATTAGTCGTATCAACATGACTTATAAATAAAAATGCACTTTATTAAAAACTTTTTAATCCAAAGATATTTACACGTGAAAAATATTTATTGTTTAAAAACGACTTTATTCCCTTATGAAAAATCGCAAAATAGATGTTAACATTATCTAAGCCTATTAATTTTAATTTCGATTTTTGCACATGTATCTACAGAATTTATGAACCAAAATTTTTTTGCACACTTTTTAATAAAACTTGCTTATAAAAAATATTTATTATTTAAAAAGAACCTTTGCAGTTTTAAAAGACAAAAAAAAAATATATATATATATTTTATATATATATTTTATACCAAATTGTAATAAGAAAATTTTTCATTAAAGTTTTTTTTTCTTTAATCACTCTAGTGCTTAAATTCATTCTATCTAGAAATTTAAAATGCAAGTAATCAAATTAAGGAAAAAAAAGAAAAAAGCTCTTAAAAACTTACTGTACCCAATGAAGATATTTTCTCTTAGTTATATATGCATACCTTCTAAATTTTTTCTGAATAAGTATTTCCAACTTTCTAGACGAAAATATTAACTACTTGCACAAACCTAGCACTTATGATTGTTATATCTAAGTTTTATGATTTATTGTTAATGTTTTTTCTTCCTCAACTAGTATGTATTTCTCAACTAGTTTTATTTTCTTTTTCAATAATACATACTTATTTTTGCAGCCACTGATATGGAAAAATTATATATATATAAATAAAATAACACGTGTGTTAATTGAAAATTTCAAAAATGGGCCGCAAGTCTTTCATCTATCCCATGCCCGCTGAAACAATTGCTTTAGACTAGAGTGTCCAAACTTCGGTGCACAGAGCAAGGGAACGGTTTTACACTATTGTCTTCTTTGCTTAAAAATTCTAAAATAGCAGACCTTTTGCTTGACATAGTAAAAAAGGAAAAAAAAAAGAAGATATATTATAAAATATAATTAAAGTGGCAGACCAAAAGAGATGTAC